CAATTTTCTTCTAAAAGGCAGTAAGAGGGGGGGGGTGCGGGAAGAGATTAAGCAAAGAACTGTATATGCATATATGCGTAACCCATGGACACAAACAACAGTGTGGTGAAGGCCTGGGAGGAGTGGGCTTAGTGGGGGTGGGGAGGGACATCTGTAATACTTTAAATAAAGGTAAAAAAATTTAAAAAGTCAGTAAGTAGTCCCATGGCAGCTTTCTGGAGAGGATGGGAAGAGGTGGTCTTCCCTGAGTCCAAACTACAATGTATCCCTGGGAAGAAGCCTTCCCAATTTGAATGTGTACTAAAGAAAATAATTCCGTTTCCTAGTGAAAGATCAATAAATGTAGCAAATGTAGAGAGATGTGAGGTGTCTTCCTTTTCTTTTACTTTTTTCTTTTCTTTTTCTTTTCTTTTTCCTTTTCTTTTTTCTTTTCTTTCTCTTCCTTTCTCTTTCTAATCTTGCCTTCCCTTTTTTTATTTCCTTACTCATCAAACCACATTCTTTCCTAATATCCTTAAATGTTAGAGTTGTGGCAAGTGCTGTCCAGAACTGGATGGTTCCTCTGCCTCTTTATTCTGCAACTCCACCAGATATGCCAACGTGTTCCCCACTTTTAGCTCAGTAGGGGCATTTAGAAAGTTCCTGCTTTAGTAAACATTTCATTAATTATGTAAAGAAATATTTTTTTGAAATTAAATTACTCCTGTGATACAAATTTTGGCTTGATTATAAACTATATTTCAAGGCTTTGAAAATCAAAGTATTTTTCTGAAAGTATTTTTAAAAAACAGAGCATGTCACTCTATTTAATATTCAATTGTGTACATTAATATAATTTGTTTTTAGGGAAGAACTGGAATTACAAACTGCTTTAGATATCATTGCTGATACCATACTAGAAATTTGAGAGGGGGGGGATATTTGATCCTCATTAATAAATACACATTTTTCCATCCTTACTTTACAGATGAAGAACAGGAGGCTCAGAGAAGTTAAGTAACTTCCCTAAGATCACATAGCTAAAGAAATAGCAGAGCTGGAATTTGAACCTAGATTTGTATAATGCAAACCATGGCACTATCCTACATATGCATATGGGCTATAAATACCTCAAATACAACATGTCCAAAGCCAAATTTTTCCCCCCCAATATCCCCCCGCCCAAGGTTGTTTCTCCTACTAGGTTCTCTTAGCTCAGAGCACCATTTACCAAGATGCTCAAACTAAGAACCTTGGAATAATCTTAAACTTTTTACTCTCACCATTTCCTCCC